CATTTTTTCTCTCTAACAATGTCTTGTTTATTTTGAAAAAGCTAAGAAAATAATCTCTGCTTATGAAGTTACTCTCAATTTTAACTATTACAGCAATTCTGTGGGAATATTCAGCCTTGAGAAGGCACTAGCAAACTGTGTGAAGTAAGCCATTTTCTTTTTAAAAGGGGGTATCCTATATATTCCGTCTTGGCTGCTATTTTTCCTGAAGAATGATCAGTGCACGATGGCATAGCATGAATGAACTTATTGGTATTTTATTTTAACAACCCTTGAATGTTTTCTATTTGTGGCTATTGCCTAAAAATTCTATTATAAGCAATGAAGGAAGGAAGGAATTCAGTTGAAAATGACTGACATCATACTTTCTAAGTTCTCATGCACGAGACCCCAGGTTTTGCCTTTTCAAAGAAGGAATAAGAGAAAATTCACACAAAATTGTTAAAAGCTACATCTAGTCACAAAATCTTAATATGAGATTTGTATCCTAAAAATGGGGATAGAGATGACTAATCCTGAACCACACATCTAATCAGGGAAATGCTTCACAGTTGGTCACCATTTATAAATTATTGAATCTCTTCAAAAACTCCATACGGCACATCTCATCACCTTGAAGTTTGGAGAGTAAAAAACTGGGTCCAAACTACTTAGCTGAAAGGTAAACAGAAGCCATGATTTAAATCTAGGCTCCTTTGATTTCGCAGTACATGCTTTTTTTTTTTTTTTCCCACACCATATTGCTTGAATTCATACTTCACACTATAAATACGGAAGTAGTCCTCCTACCCAATTTATTTTCTCCCCACATAACTTAATGTTTCCTTCGTTAAAGTCACACGTTAGTAGGTAAACACAGCTACCCTTATTTGTCCTGCTGTAATTAATGTCCTCCTCTGGTTGGCAGAGTAATGGTCCCCAAAAGATGGTCACATCTTAATCCCCAGAACATGCATTTTATCTTACATAGTAGAAGGGATTTTGGAGATGTGATTAAAGATTTTGAGATGGGGAGATTATCCTGAATTATGTGGGTGGGCTCAATATAGTCAGTTACACAAGGGAAGCAGGAATGGCAGTCAGATGGGAAGATGCTAAGCTGCTGGCTTTGAGGACAGAGGAAGGGGCCAGGAGCCAAGGCATGTAGGCAGCCTCCAGAAGTTGGAAAAGGCAAGGAAACAGATCTCCCTTAGAACCTCCAGAAGTCACACACTCTGCTGACACTTGACTTTACCTCAGTGAGTCTTCTGACCTCCAGAACTGTGGGTAATAAGTTTGTCTTGTTTTAAGTCACTATGTGGCAATTTGTTATAGCAGCCATAGGAAACTAATACATACCTTTTCAATTTTAAGTGTTCTTGTTTATACAATAAATATAAGAAGATAGAGTTTATAATTGATCAAGCTCTGACCTTGGAAAGCCAACACACCATCAAATTGAAAAGCTTCCATGTAAATCTTCACCCTGGCTGGGTGGCTCAATTGGTTGGATCATCATCTCATTCGCCCAAAAGCTTATGGGTTTGATTCCCAGTCAGGGCACATACCTCGGTTTTGGGTTCAATCTCTGGTTGGGATGTGTACAAGGAGGCAACCGATCAATGTTTCTCTCACATTGATGCTTCTTGCTCTATCAAAAAACATATATAAACATATCCTTGGGTGTATATTAAAAAAAAAAATCTCCCTGGGTTTGGTTTTGGGAGGTCGCAGAGGCTCAGTAAAGCTTTATTCCTACAATTTCCATGGATTTCTAAAGATTTACTGTTCTGGATTCAATAATGCTGTCAGGTAATAAAGAACAGAAATAAATAACCACTTCTCAAAAGTCTTGTAAAATTAGAGTTTGCAGGAGCACTATCCCATGCAGACAGTCTATTTCATAAGTGGGTCATTTGCTTTCCCAGGATGTGGGGTTTCATTGCCCAGTCAGCACAAGAGGCAGAGAAGCCGAAGGCAGTGGACGGATGGGAGGGAAGGGAATGGATTTTTTTCCAAGGGTGGAAAGCGAGAAAAAGGAAATAATCAATGCTGGGCAGGAGAGCTTCGTTTAATCATTTAGTTCTGCCTGGGTAAGCAACATCAGTGAGCAAATAGCCCTCCCCTCGAAACCTGCAGGTATTTATAACCAGACCAGGAGGTTGGTTGGAGTAAAGACATTCTGATTAGGTGAAAGAATAAACTATAACTGCAGACTATAGTTAAACCAAATGGGATCTTAGAGGCCACTGGTCATTTCTCAGCACTGGAGTGCGAGGCCCCTCACAGAGTCCGTCTCACATTCTTGTCCAGCTCCTCCAGTGAGGAGAATCCCTCAGACAGTCTATTCCACTTTGAATGACTGATTGCTAACAAGGTTTCTTCATATTTAGCTGTAATCTTATATCTTCACCCTGTGGTGCTAGTTCTACCTGCTTGCAGCCACATAAAGCAAATCTGAACCAATGGCTCTCAATTCTGGCTGCAGGGAAGCCTTTAAACATCTGATTTTTCAAGCTGCGCTGCAGACCACTTCCATCGGAATCAGTGAGAGTGGGACCCAAGCATTGGTACTTTTTAAATCCTTCAGGGGATTCCAGTATGCAGCCAAGGTTGAGGGTTACTGGCTTAAACTTCCTTCCACACTATGCTGTTCTTATAGTTAAAGATGCCCTCACTTGAATGGAATCTTCTCTTTCTTAGGCTGTGGCTCTCAACCATCCCCTTAGAGCAGACATTGCGAGGCAACTAGCAGTCATTACTATGCAGCCTGGAGAGGAATAGCGTCAGAAACCACCAGGGAAGACCTGGTAGCCCAAAGTCTGTGGTATGACTGACTTGGTTCCTTTCATGTTTTTAAAAGTATAACCAGATAGGTAAATTGGACTTTATCAAAATTAAAATGTTTGTGTTTCCAAGGACACTAGCAAGAAAATAAAAAGACAACCACAGAGTGGGAGAAAATATTTGCACATGATAAGGGTCTAGTATCCAGCATATGTAAAGAAATATTACAACTCAATAATAAAGACAAATACCCCAATTAAAACTGAGCAAAAATATTTAAATAGACATTTCTCCAAAGAAGATATATAAAAATATAACCACCTCCTCCCACTGCTACACACACACACACACACACAATACCCCATCATGTGACATCACCATCTTTAAATTTTGAAAAATTTGCCAAGATTTTTGCACTGACCCTAAATTTCTCTTATAGATCAAAGTACCTCCAAAAGGGATCATTTAAAAAAATCACTTTTCTGAGATGGCCCATCTGGCTGTCGTGAGAAACCTGTAAGCCACTCAGAACTGCCCTTCTGTCCAGCTCTGAAGGGCCTCTCCTCTGGGAAGCAAGCCCAAGGCCAATTTCAGAGGCAAGCAATCTGAGACCTGGGAGGGGAAAAAAAAAACCACCCTGGATTTTTCCAAACAATGACTTTTTAAAAAAAAACAAAAACGTTTTTTCATTGAATTTTTTTAGAGAGAGAGGACAGGAGAGGGAGAGAGAGAGAAAGAAACAGGAATGATGAAAGAGTTGTTGATCGGCTGCCTCCTGCATGCCCCCTACTGGGGATGGACCCCACAACCCGGGCACATGCCCTGACTGGGAATCGAACCCTGACCTCCTGGTTGATGGGTGGACACGCAACCACTGAGCCGTGCTGGCTGGTCGTATCTGTTTAGATATTCCGTCTTGTCTTTTTCTGCAATGGCCATAGTCCCCATTGACCCGTATCTCACAAGACTAGTTAAAGAATGGCAAGCAGGCCTCTCCTCACACACCAGTTTGAATCATTTGTTAATAGTTGCACGGAGTGTAGCATTTAAAAGATAACACATGACCTCCATGTGCCACCCAATTAATCATGCCTGCCTTGGGTTACCCGGCAGAGGTGGGGAACGTCCGGCCCACTAGCTGTATATGGCCTGAGAAATCATTTGGTCTGGCCCTGCCAAGGCAACCGCAGGTGGGACTCGGAAGTCAATAAATCTAGGAGCTTTTTCATAGCTAGTTTTTAAGTTGATAATTTTGTATGGCGTGAGAGTGATGTTACAAATATCCAGTGGCCCTTGGCAGGAAAAGGGTTCCCCACCCTTTAGGGTGTAGGTAGCCTTCAGAAAGACTACCATCTTTGGACTGAATAGTTTCTTCTTTTCTTCAGGACTGACATATTAACTGTAAATATTTCACAATATCTCTTTGCATTCCTTTACTCAAACCCCAATCTTGTAGTAAAGAAGCTACAGTTGACCCTTCAGTAAGATGGGGATTAGGGGTGCCAACCTCCTGCACAGTTGAAAATCCATTGATAACTCTGACTCCCCAAAATCTTAACTACTAATAGCCTACTTTACTGATAACATAAACAGTTGATTAACACATATTTTGTATGTTATATGTATTATATACTGTTCTTATAATAAAGTAAGCTAGAGAAAAGAAAATATTATTAAGGAAATCAAAAGTAAGAGAGGATACCTTATGTATTGTATGTATTTATTTGAAAAAATCTGTGTGTGAGTGGGCCCGCACAGTTCAAACCTATGTTATTCAAGGATCAACTGCACTTCAAGTGCATTAACATTTTCCATTCATATTTGCAGATACAAAAATATCTGCAGAAAAGAAACTGCAGGAACTGCGTCTTTTGTCCAGGGCCTTTGGTAGAATCCATTTTGCAGTTATAGTTTGGAAATTGCACAAATCTTCCTAGCTTTAGGCTGAACAAAGAGTCCCTTCTGGGCAGAATGGTGTCAGAAATTCTGTCCCCCATTCCTGAAAGCCCTTCCTCTACGGAGGCTTCTTAACTTCCACTATCAGTTGTTTGTAGTTACTGGTCTCTAATGACAAAAATGTTGCCTCTGTCTTTAGTTGAAATGTAAATACCCAGGCCTCAGGGGTTAGCACCTGGTTTCAGCCTTATCTTCCTACACAAATCAGGGCATCTCACAGCAGGGGAGTCCTACCTGTCTCCCTGGGAGGTGAGCGCGAATCCTCAGAGGGTCCTTACCTTGTAGTGGAAGAGAAACAATCCACAGAACAGGCTGTACAAATCTGCCGTGAGCAGGGACAGGTTGACCGACGTGGCGCTGGTTTTCTTTATGACAACGGGCATGAAGCTGTAGAGACCAAACATGCAGGCACTGAAGCCAACGTAGAGCAGGCCTGGGGGGAGAGGAAAGAGAGGCAACATCACAGCCTCCTCCAGGGCCTCTGAGTCCACAGCGGGGGAAGGAGAGGCACCCTGCACACCACTGATCATTCACAGAGGGGAGCCTTTCTTTCACTCCATTAACTGATATTTAATATTGGGTAATACGTAGCTAAAATATAAAAAGTAAAAAACCCCCAAAACTTCCTGCTTCTCCTACATATGTAGTATTTTGCTTCTTCTAGGAAGGAGTGGCTTTCAGTGGCTACGGTCAGAACGTGGAGTCAAGGCTTCTGAATTCTGTTCTCAGTTGTGTGGTAATTAATGTCTATCCATGTCTGTTAAAGCTTTTTCATCTTTTAGTTTTTTATTTGCAAAATAAGAACACGTATTGGTATCATGTATTGTTCATAATGATAAATAATTACGTAGTCCTTAAAGTTGAGGGGCTTACCTGTCAGAGAGATCGGGACTATGAGTACTGAAATGGAATCCTAACTGCGTGGCCTTGGGAGGACAATGTCATTGCTCTGAGCACAGATGATCTTCCAGATTTGCGAGTCTTGCGCAGCCCTATGGCCAGCACACAGAGACCTGTTTCTTTATCACCTTTCCTAGCATGCTGTGGGTGTCACATGTAAGTCCTTCTGTTTTATAAACAAATAGGTAAATGCTTTGCAGACCACCAAAGAATTAAGTTGTGCAAAAGAGAAAGAAAATGTCCTTAAAATGCTATATGGTCATCCAGTCTCAATCTCATGCTCTAAATCTCTCTCCTTCTGAATCTATCTAATTATAAATAGATACACAATTGTTAATAATAATTCCATAAAACACAATTTTGTTGGGTCTCAAGCAGAAATTTATGGCTAAATCTAGAATTTGGTTTATTTTTTTGTAGATGTTGATACAACACAAATGTAAAAAAATAATGCTCATCCCTCTACCTTGAAAGAATAAGGCATAGAATGAGCATAAGTAATAAAATTCAGTGGATCTTTGGCTTCATAATATAATGAAAGTAACCATCCTTTCCAAAGGAATCCTCAATACGATGTATCTGGTGTGGGCTGTGGACAGGCGGCTTCCTTGAATCCTGTGCATTTTGGAGGATTTGGTAGGTACTGGACATCCAGCCCCTTTGACTAGGAAGACCAGTGACTCCTCCCAGGAGAAGTTTATTTTTCCCGTATGCAAAATATTTAAGGGCATAAATAATCATTCTATACATTTCTGACCCTAAGTTTAAGGAAAGCCACATCAAATCTATACACAAAATTATTCTGAACAGTGAGTAAGCAAACTCAGTGCAACAGCCCCCTCTAGTGTGGCAGAAGCGTCCCAAGAGGAAACCAGAATAGCCTCTCCTATTCCATGAAGCACAAGTCTTCTCCTGGGTGTTCTGTCACAGTAGTATCAGATGGCTTTCAACTCTCCAGCAGAAGTCTTAATTCCCTAAAAATGGTCAACTTTCCTATACTTGGGTCTCATGCTACCTATTTTTCATTTTTCTTTTAACCAAATTACAAAAAATGCAATACTAAATAACCTATGGTCAATACATGAAGAGACATAAAAATTAATTCAATATTCCTGAGGCTAGGGGCAAGATATATTCCTAAATTAATTCACTAAAAACAATCAAACTTGATCCAAACAGAGTCCGGACACCAGAGCCTATTTTTTTTTTAGGAAAGCATGACTGATTGAGATTATACGTGACTGGGCTAGAAAGTTCCAGTGATGGGACAAATGAACTGTATTAACTTTTGACTGACAGCTACATAGTGGCTGCAATAACCACATTTATAGACAGGGCATGTTTATAACCATTTCTTAATTGAAATGTTTTCTTTCTCACTGAAGATGGAATTCATTCACTCTTGTCCTCATGCATCAAGAGACTTAAGCTAAAGAGATCGGAAAGAATACTGTCAGCTAATACTGACTGAGAGCTTGCTGTGTGTCATGTACTTATATACATTAATTAATTAATCCCCACAACAGTATAACGCCATTTCTAGTGTTACCTTCTTTATACAGATAAAGAAATGAGTTTTATAGAGTGTATCACAGTCCATACTAGGTTCAAGAGAAGATATTTAATATAGGGCACAAGTTACAAAGGCATTTGGATGGATGATGGGAAATGGGAATGGTGAGGCGATGCAGAGATTAGCAACAGCAGTAAGTTACAGGCCCGGAGCTAGAGAGATCCAGTGAGGAGGCCATGTCATCAGGGGTCAGAATAGGGAAACCATCACAGAGGTGACTCAGTCCTTTCTAGAGACCCAACCCAAAACANGCAGTAAGTTACAGGCCCGGAGCTAGAGAGATCCAGTGAGGAGGCCATGTTATCAGGGGTCAGAATAGGGAACCCATCACAGAGGTGACTCAGTCCTTTCTAGAGACCCAACCCAAAACAGAGAAACAGGGAGGAGCCGTGTGGTTTCTTCCTCCCACCATCCGATCTCCCTCTACTGCCTCCCATTGGCTAAGCCTAGGTGGAAGCCAGTTGACTAGGGCACCTGGGAAGGGTTTGCATGAGCCTCCACAATGCAGAGCAGAGCAAGTAAGGGCAAGAAAGAGATGGATCTGAGAGTAAACAGGCAAAAGCCAGTGTACTGAGAGAGTGACTTAGCCTCAGGTCACACAGGCCATCTGACTTTAAATTCTGAGCACATACCACTGTGTATATATATTATTTAATTATTATGAAGAGAAATAGGGCTTTGAAGGAGCATCCTATTTTATTCTAAAGAGCATCTCATTTTATATATGATATCATATATATACCATATAAAAATATGATATATACATGTATATATGATGTGTGATTATATGATATATATGATATATACATGTATATATGATGTGTGATTATATGATATATATGATATATACATGTATATAGTATGTGTCTGTGTATGTTGCATATATTTTATTTCATCACATTCTTTGGGATCCTACTGGTGTTCTGTCTTTCACTTTCCTTTGATTTTTAAAATATTATTTTTAATCTTTAAAAATAAAGGCTAAGTAAGATGGTTTCTCCGAACATATGCATAAGGCTAAGCCTGTAGAGGTTGCCAGGCTGGCAGGGCCTGCTCAGAGCACGCACAATAGTCCCACCACAGGCAGCCTCAAGCGTCATCAAGTCGCCCCAACTCCCCAGGCCTCATATTCAACATTGGTTTAAAAAAAAAAAAGGTGCATTCTTAATTTTCTTTAAGGTCCTTCTTGCTCTGTGGTCCCATTATACCATCTTCAGGGAAAGGTCAACTGTCCTGTTCTAGCCTCCAGGAAAAAAAACAAAACAAGCATCACTCACAATGTGAAAAGTGGGGAAGCCCCTGCATCCCAGACCTGTGGCAGCTGACCCACCACATATTCCTTCCCTCTAACATGGGACTTCCACATCAGCTTACATTTGTCCCTATGCCCTTATTGCAAATAAGATAAAGAGAATGTTTAAGTTATTTAGTAGATTTCCAACTGTGACTGGAACACACCTGCTCCCCAGGAGGGCATTTTAGCTCAATTAGGTCACAACTGTTAGTTGAATTTAGTGATTATGTAACCAGCCCCAGTTTAGTAGAGTAAAACAAAGAAATAAAAATAAACAACAATAACTGTTATCTTCTTGCTTTTAATTACTTTGTGTCTTGCAGTTGGTCAATGTTATTGGAAAATAACAGAATCTGTTTTTAAAAAATGCCTTCCAAGTCCAGAAAAATATAAAACACATTTATCATTCCACTTACTCCATAGGAAAAAGCCAACTTTTTACTTTGAGAAAGTGGCAACCATATGAGCTATTCAGGAGACTGTATAAAGGGGATTACTGAGGTGGAGAGAAGGAAGGGAGAGAAACACAGTGACAGATGCTGGGGCATGAAGAGAGTCTAGATTCTGCTCTTAGCTAAGATGCTATGAGCTCTCTCGAAGACATAGCAATCAGAGCTCAGACCCTTGGGGGACTTCCCAAGGAGTGGAGGGGATGCGTTAGGACAGCGATTTTCAACCTTTGCATCTCATGGCAATATAAACTGATTACTAAAATTTCTATGACACACCAAAAAATATATATATATTTTTGCTGATCTGACAAAATGAAAAAGGTATGATTTTGATACATTCACACCCGACAGTTATTGTGTTGGCTGTCGTGCGCATCTTTTTATTTGAGAGCCTAAGGGAAAAGAGGTCAGTGCCCCTGACTAAGTAGTCAGGAATTGCATGTTTAAAAAGCTTTTGCAGCGCACCAGTTGAAAATTGCTGCCCTATGAGGATGCTGGCCTGCCTGACGTCGCCCTGCCTCTCTGAGCCGCAAGTCCCCACAGCTGCTGTGCCATCCCCAGTTCCCGAGAAAGTAAGTGCAAGTCAAGCCTAAAGTCTCCTCCCGTCCTCTTGCCATTCATTCGATTGCTTAATAAATATTTATTCACTGAATATGCGCCTAGAATTGAGCTAAACAATAGAACCTTGCAGTAGGTCAGGGTGAGGTAATGAGGTAGCCTTGAAGCAAAAAAAAAAATCTCAAACCCAACCCTATCAGTGCTTCAGGAAAAAAGGCTGAATATTTGATTTCCTTTCCTGACCATTGTGCCTCATTTCCCATCAGGAATTAAACAAATGGCCACATAATGTGTTCCTTTTGCACGGCCTTCATCATTTCTGACTGCGGGGGACTGACATTTCGATGGCAATGAGAGAGCTCAGAATAAAACTACCTTTTGATGACACATCTAACTAACACCGAATTCTAACAGAAGCTTGGTGGACATCCACAGGCCGTCCACGTGGAGGACACATTATTTTTTATTATTGCTATTACTATTAATATAAAATTAATTGATGCTCAGGGGCCACGGCCTGTGGAGTGTTCCTGAGCACGGCTGGCGTTTTGTTCCCTGGGGCTGAGAGTCACAAAGACAAATTCGTCCGTAACCTGCAGCTGGTTTCCTTTCCCAGGGCCCTCCTCGCCCACCCCGCTCCTCCTCTCTATTGACTTTCATTTAATTGTAACATTCTGTAGCAGAACTTGAGAGGAATTAAATGGCAGGGCTCTGTGACAGGCACAAGGGCTGGTTAGCCCTTGAAATCGCTAGAGCTGATCCCCAGGGAGAGTCCTGCATAATCCTGTAGCTTGCAGTGTATCTTCGGAGGGATTCATCTCAGCAACTGGTGGCCTTGGATGCTTTGGGGCCCAGGGCAGGTGAAGTGGCGCAGGGAAGTTTATCTGGTTGCTGCCGGTGCTCATGGAAGCAGAATCTGACTTAGCTGTTAATTCCATCAAAGCGCATATAAACTGTAGACGGCTCAAGAAGCCAGCTTTAGCGTGAGGGCCCATGTGTATTTTCACCTCCATTTACATGCGCTGTACACACAATTCCCAAGCATAAGCCAAGCTCTGTGCTCACTGCTGGAACTCATGCGCCTTGGTACAGACACTGAGGGGATAGTTTGGGGCTGGGGCTAGTAAATGCCAGTCCCTTCTAGAGCTTTCTGTGTGATCATTAGAGCACCACCTAGGATCTCGAGTTTTTGTCCTAATTTTTTTTTTTTTTTTAGAGAAAACTGATTGTAGAAAGAAGTGGACTCTGAGATGCCCTGGATGACTAACTAGCTCAAATTGCCTCTGGTATTTTTCACCAAGTCCATTCAGAGATCAATTAACCATTCTTTATATGCAAAAAGCTCCTTTCTGAAAAGGTTTTTATGGGCTCAGAATGTCCATTACATTGTTTTTCTTTTATGCCTTTTTGTTAAGTTCCATTTTTTCCCCTTTTCCGAAGTGCCACTTTTTAATGATCACATCAGCTTTGTGTTTCTTGGCTAGAGCAAATTGCTGTCATTTGCACCCCACCACCGCCTCGGGGCATTCTTTCTTTTTGGTTGGTCTTTAACCTAGTAATATACTTCTGTGTCTCCACTAATGGCATCTTGACAATGATAATGCGAAAAGCTCAATCAGGAAACATTATGGATCATATAGTTCAGTCTTACAGTGTGCAAGAATGCCTGAGATGACAAGGGGATTTCATTTTCTTCCGTCCCCACATTCTAAATCCTTTCATTGTTCTTGTCCCACCCCTACCCACATTACCCTTCAAACATATTTCTCAGCACCTTAGGTGAGCAAACCCCTTACCTATTTGCCAATCCCAGGGCACCTTTAGCAGCTCCTTGTGCTCCATTATAGCTCTGCAAATGGAAAGAAAGTGGACCTGATGAGCAAGATTATGAAGCATCCTACCTCTTTTCTCTTACTAGGTTTATACAAATCATGAAGCAACCAACTGAATTTCAAAACTACCTCTGGGCCATGCAGAGGCAGGTCTAATTAGGCAGACTGAGGTGTGCCCTGAGGGATCCTGTCGGGTGTGCCCAGCAGTGGTGAGAGCATGCCCGTGGCCACAGTGGAGCTCAAACCTCCCACCGACCTTCACACCCAAGCAGCCTGCCTAGGGTTTTTGTTTCTTCTTGATTACATCCTTCCTGAAAAGTAAACGGTGAGGTTCAAAAAATTTCTGTGCTTGCAGGTTTAGTCAACTTTCTGACTGAGCATTGTCAAGGGCAGTGGTTCTCAAGCTTAAATGTGCAAAAAAGTCATCTGGAGAGCACGTTGCGGCAGTTTCCGGGCCCCATTCCTAGAGATCCTGATTGTGTAGATCTGGGAGGGGACGGTGGATGTGCCTGTGTGAGGAGCTCTCATCTGGTACCAGCGCTGCGGTCAGAGAAGCCCACTTGGAGCACCACTGCTCTAGACGACCAGCAGGCGAGGCTGGCGCCACTCCACCGGCGCTGCTTGGTTCCAGTGTGCCCTCGATGCATCCCATTTGCCAAACTCACCCATCTGCCACTTCCATTATTTTGGTAGCAGTGTCTCTGAAGGGCTCAGTCGGCTCTAATGGACTGTAACTGAAGCAAATGAGCACTAGATCCCAGAATATATTCTTTGGATTCAAGAATAATAATCCATAAAATGAGCCATCCATCTACAAAATGTTGGTTCTGAATAGTTGAACTAGGCAATTTCTTTTCCTCTCACACACCTAAAGCACCAAATTTAGGAGCTATAAAATGCCATCATGCTTTCGAAATGAACCAAAAATAAATCCTCGGAGACTCTTCCCATCTCCCCGCTTCGTGTGCTACGGAGCTTGTCACTTCTCAATGAGGGTACTGGAATTTGGAGGATTCTTGGAAACAGCCTATTTGCAAAACATGTTTACGGTGATGCCAAAATATCTTCCATAAGTAATTTCAGACACTGAACCAATACAATTACCCAGTGCTTGCTTTGTAGAAAGTGATTGGGTGAAATTAGACGGCAGGCCATACATTTATTCATCTCTTACGTGAAATGTAAATATATGGTCTCTCTTGATGAAAATTTATACTTCGTTTTGACACTTACTCTCACAGCAATTTCTGAGGCACAAGTCAGTGATGACTTACATGCTCCAATGCCAGAATTACTGAAAAATTGGTGTTTTTGACTTTTTGAGCTTAGTGAATGTCTGTTATATCTTCACCTATTTAAGGAAAATGGAAACACAAAATTTCTAAGAGATGAATTTGAAATATGGTTCAGTCATGCAAATCTATGGGCAAAAAAGAACAAATTGATAAAAGAGCAAATTTAAAGTGTAGGTTTTCTAGTGGCAGCTGTCACTAATAAAGAGAATGTCCCTTTTTTGGAAGTGCCTCAAATCAAGGCACTTACACTTAGTTTTTCTGTTTCTCTAAGTAAAAACCACAGGCTGGTTTGGGAGGATCAATGCACTTCTAATGGTTTCTTGTAAGTTATCTTCAAAGTCCATTAAATGTTTTTCTAATAATTTAAAATAAACTAGTTTGGTTTGGAAGAAATTTACTAATAAAGATATTGAGTTTTCAGACTTCATGTGGGAGGTTGGTGGCAGGTTCTCAGGCTTGATTTTTATAAAATTAAGTGACCAGCCCTATGCCAAAAAACCAAAACCAAAACCAAAGAAAGTTAAGCATAAGCCCTAAGAGTCTCTGCTGTCTGAGTTTCTGGTTATTTTTACTCACAATTGAATTCCACTGAAAAATGCCCCGAAGAGTCCAATCATGCCCAGGAACTCCACTCGGCTCAGGGTTCGGATGATGTATTCCTCCCAGACATTAGAGATGCCATAGAGTGTGGCTCCTCCTAAGACCAGGAGGTCCCCTACCAGCTTATTTTCCCCTAGGAAGAAAAAGCAGACAAGGAAGAAAGAAACAGAAAAGCAAAGGGAGCTTCATTAAAAATTTCCTAGCAGGAATTCAGCACCAGCAGCATCGGCTTCCTACGGCCATTCTATTCTGACATTTGGAGGGAAGTTCTGCAACTTGCCAGCTGAGATTTGGTGGCGTTTGTCTGGGTGGGCAGCTGTGTGTCGGCCAGGATGGTCCTCAGTTATGAGAGGGCCCGCTCCCCGTAGATGGCACCATGTCCCAGAGCCCACGTGCCCGGGCGAACAGGCCTGCGAACAGGTGCCCTCTTCTCAGGGCGCGCTCTGGGTGCTGGGGGCTGTCCCGCTGTCAGGGGACTTGGTGTGGACTAAGGGACGCAGTCTAAGTCCGCCCTCTGCAGTGGCAGAGAAGCTGAACAGAAGTCCTGGAGACTCTCCTTTGCCCATGGGAAAATGTGTCCTTGCTTAGAAAATGAGAGTGAAAGGGGTTATGGGTTAAATTTCTTAACTCCCTTAAAGTAAGTAACGTGAGTGAAAATGCATGTAATTCACTATCACATTAATATTTTCCCTCTTTCATAAAACATATCTATTTGTTTTAAATTCAGTTTTGGCAGGTTCCGGTTTATGTCCAGTTTTTAATAAATGCTGTACCTGGCTATTTGCTATAATTAGGTGAACTCTTTCCACCGCGGGAAGCAGACAGCCGGGAAGGAGAGGGGACATCAGAGGCGGGCGACCTCCCTGGTGGACTCCTACCCAAGGGGCCTCCAGCTCTGTGCCTCACAGGTCAGTGCCCAGGACCTCGACAAGTGTGCTGCTCTGGGGCAGGGAGGGGGGGATCGGGAAGGCTGCTCCCTCCAGCATGATCCTAAGGGGCAGACTCAACTCCAGAAGCCTGCATTCCCAGCTTAGCTGGACAATCTAAAACTGAAGAACCAATTCTTACTGTTCATTTGGGAGCACTGAGAATTTTCTAGAAGTGGATTCACGTAAAAGAATCTGGTCTGGGCTTGGGGAAAGATCTCTTCATTCTTGCCTCTGTGGTCACCTTGGAAGGTTATACATTCACTCTAAATGGTGTCACTTTTTCTAAGGCAACCTCCCACTCCTGAGGGATTGGGGAGAAAGGAGAAGAGACCCTGAGAGCCAGGACAGCTTGTTGGAGTCACCCTCAAGGGAATGGAGCTGAGAATCTGGATTTGCAAGGGCTGGGAGCCCTCCTTGAGGTCATGGGGGGCAGATGAGTCCCCAACAAGAAATGAGACCTCGTGGGAGGTCCCTGGGTGCATCTTCTGGGGAAATTATGGTTGCTGTGACCGACAGTCTCATCTTCAGCAACCTGATTAATCTTTTTTATGTGTCAACTAGAAAATAATGACAACACTTTAATTTTAAGTAGTTTGTTTGGGGTACAACCTGTAAAATAAAAAGTATCCATTACTAAAATTATAAAATTATAGTGAACATGATTTGGTCACTTTTCATTCAGGAGCCATTTCAGAATCTTGTTATAACTTGGGTTCATTATTATGAATGCCATTTACTGTTGTGCTAGTGAAGTATGGAAGTGCAGCTTCATAGAATTCTTGGTTAATAAAATTAATTTTATATGAGTGGATTCAGGACAGTGAAATTATAATGAAGTATTTTAATAAAAATTTGGGGAACATCAGTCTACCTTTTAAAAGCCTTAAAAAGAGGCCATGCTGTTTCAATGAATGACATTTGTACAGTTATGGCCTTTTCCATTAACTGGCTTTCAGCTATATGAAATCTACTCCCCAATACTTTGAGTTTTCACCAGTGCAGTGATAATTATTGTTAATGATCATATAATTCTGTGTAACTATATGCTTGAAGTATTTTCTAGTTATCAGTGACAAAATGTAATTTTGGTTAAATATAATTTTGGTTAAATATAATTTATTAAAATTTCACTGGTTACAGTATTTCTCAGTTTTTAAATCATTTAAAAATGCATATGTATACATATTACATGTATAAAAATTTAGCTGATTAAATAGAAGTCAATTAACCAGGACATGATTTTATCCATCCATATTCTTTAATGAAGTACTTGATATAAGAAAGTTCTAAAACTAATATTTTTATCTACAATTTGTATTTAGTTAACTGGAAATTACATGTTACTCCAGGTTTTATGCAGTAAATATGGTAGATACCTAACATGGTGGTGCCAATTCTGTACAATGTTCACTGGGAAAAGTATATTATACCCAGCAAATCTGTCATTTATGTACATATAAAACCATGATGAATGACTATGTTGTGTAAATTTGGGTTAAATGAACACATTTGAATGTATAAGCCCATCCTTCCTCTGAATTTTGCACCATTGTACCTTTGTATGGCACCCACTGCATTCTGCTCCATATCTATTATTTGTTAACTTGTGTGTCTTCCCTCCTGCCTAGTTTTCTTACACAGTAGGGTGAAGGGCCATGGGCTGTGAATGACATAGCTTTATATTTTATGTGGTCCCTAACATGGATCCTTACATATTGTAAGTTCTCAATAAATGTTTAAATAAACCGAGCTGACTGAAAAGGTCTTAATCCATCCTATGGTAAAGATTTCGAGTGGCAACAGTTTTCAATTTAGGTAGCATGGGTTCTAAGCACACCTCTGTCGCTTGTTAGCTGTTGAACACTGGGTAAGCTATAGAGTCTTTCTGCACTTCATTTTCCTTATTTTAAAATGAGGTTATTTTGAGGATATAGTAAATGTAAATAAAAGAATGCAAAATAATGTAAAATGCTTAGCATATCATCTGGCACTCATGTATACACTAAGTGCTGGTTAAAGAGAACAAATCAACATTCCCTTTGAGTAGCTAGCTACCTGTCTCTTTGGGTTGGTCATTTCTCATTTTGGATTGTTTCTTGGTTCTCATGAACCCAGTCATAATTGCTTTGCAAAAATTGGTTTTTCTTATTACAAATTTTGATTAAGTATTAGAAACACTGTGTTTGGAGGAATATGTGTGTCTACAAGGCAGTGGGAGGAGAAAAGGAAACATTATTCAAAATCACTACTAACCAGTTGATCAAGAATTAAATGGTGAATTATACAATTCATAAGTGTTGAAAGACTAGTCATGCAATTTATGAAAATGAACCCATCCCACTGAATATTTTTGAGTTTTAAATGTGACCAACTGCCTTGTTTTCCTGGGGCTCCCTTGGTTTTAGCACCAAGTGGCTGGGAAAACTCACTTATTCTGGGGAATCTGGGACAGTCATTCACCCCAACTTACTATATTAGAACAGCTGTACATTTCTTATAAGAGCCACAATTATGTAAAAATAAGTCTTAAGTGGTGTAGGAGAAAGAATATTGGTTAGATTTCACATCTACGCCACACCTTTTCATGATGGTGTGCCCTTGCACAAGTTTCTTATCTTCCCTGAGCCTTGATTTCGTCATCGGCAAAAGTGAGAATAAAAATGCTTTTTTGCATAATTAGGGGGATTAAATGAGAAAATGCATGTACCTGGCACCAATAAAATTGTCACTTTTACTTGATTGTGTTTAATTGTCTAGCTCCCTGAAAATATTTTCTCTTCCTTAAAATAAATACAAAATTATGTCAAGAAAGAAATGCTGCTATGGGTATCTAACATCTTTAATAAATGAACCATAAGATGCAATAAATGTATTATGGCAGAAAAGGAATATTTTGAGGAGCAAGAAAATACCTTTTATAACAATAAGTTTTCTGAGGAAAGTAGAAATGTCATGGGGAAGTATCTCCTAGGACTTACTAAGTCATTTTTATACACTCCAACATCAATAATTGTCTCAGGAGCCACCTTTATTGCATGTCTTTCCCCCCATGCATCAATAAATGCAGAGATGGTCTGCAGAGGAGGCCTCTAACGTTGGAGTAAGGTGGCAAAGAGAGAATGCACTAATAGGCCCACTGATTTTACTGACGAATTTGAAAATCCATCTCCTTTCCAGTGAGCTCAAAGGCATGGAAGCTTCCTAGTTGTACCTGTGACAAGCACAGAATTGGAACGTGAGTGTTGCTTGAGTCCTCCCCACTTTATGCACCACTGCACAGGCTCCGAGACAGAGCTGCCAATGCCACGGACTGCAGAGGCCTTCTCTCCACCTCTGGAAGTCACCTTGGATCAGGGCTCCCCAGAAGATTCATAGCAATTTGATGAAGAAATCTTGAAGCTTTACCTTATAGGTATACAAGGTAATTACCTATGATTATTACCAAAAACTCTTCCTCCAAAACAAAAAAACAACAAACAAAAACCATGCATGAGGACACTAAACTTAGCTCTCCCACATAAAAACATCAAGCATTCCCAATCTTAGTCTTCAAACTTTAAATCTCCATTAGGCCTATCTATCAACCTTCACCCAGCAGTTTGAAAGCTCAGTCTTTCTCTGACTGGGGAAGGAAAGAGTTGGGGGGCTGCCTGGGAAGGCGCCTTGTGATTCAGGAGTGAATTGGCCCATTGACACCATCTCTAACCAGAGGCCAGGCAGCTCTGACCTCCAAAGTAGGTCCTGACTCTCCCCTTTAAACACGGTCTGAATGTTTCTGAATTCCTGTAGAAAGAGCAGAAGACCTGTATTTTGCCTCCCTCATTCACTCAAGAAACGTATGAAGCTCCTCCTGTGTGCCACTGGTCTAGGTGTGGGGAACCAGGCATGAGTAAGACAGACAGTGGGGAGACCAGGTTCCTTTTCTACTCCCAACAACGAACACTCCATGTCTGGCCTTGGCCTCACCCACAGAGGCAGGTAACCTGGTGAACACACGGGGACTCACCTGCTCCCTGATGCCTTCCCACAAGCACGTCCGCTCCCACCATGCAGCCCATCCCCAGGATGCAGACGACGATGCCGATGAAATGCACGGCCTTGTACCGGATCAGCAGGAAGAACCAGGAGAGTAAAATTACGACTGGGATCACAAAGCAGTCCAGGAGCTATTGGCAGGAAGGTAAAGAACAGCAGAAGGTCAGGGGGAAGATTTTCATTTAGTAAAGAAACATAACTTAGCTCTATAGAAAGGCCATTTCCCCTGAACCTGAGGTTCTGTGTAGAGCCAGGCCTGATGCAATTAAGAGACTCAGAAACAAACTCAAATTAGCTTTACTTAAACATCCCTAAAAGGAAAAGGGGAGAAGGCAAATCGATGAGACAGGCTGGTGGGGAAGATTCTCCTGCCCCTATTGTCTCAGGCAGCTTGGCTTCCCGGGTTCCTCAGTGCCCTGAGCCCAAGGAACAGCTCACATGTTGGGAGAATACTCTGAGCCATTTAAGATGATCCCACCACCTTAGGAATAGATCTGGGAATGGGAGGTAAGGGGGCAGAGGTCTTCCAATGCTTTATAAATTGTTAGAATTTACATAAAAGTTGAATTTAATTTCTCCCTTACAACTGTCTTCCCACAACCAGAACAAGTTATTTTAACCTGTATTTGAAATTTCACTCTTAAAAGAAAAAATTGCTCCAAATATAAATACAAATATTACTCTCAGATGTTTACACATAACTTAAAAATGCTGTTATAAAAAAGAGTCATAAAAGGGAGAAGTTTGAACAGTTCAGAAAAAATAACTTTGGTTTCTTTTCTTATATATTTTGCACAAATAGTGAGATTCCATCTGTCAGCCCCAAGAGTTGGTGAAGAATTCACCGTGATCATGGAGTGAGGTAACATAGTGAAATGAGAAGACCCCTGTGCCGGGGGCCAGATATCTGAATTTGAGTGCTTGGTCCTTGCTTATAGCAGCGTGACCTTGGGCAAATGATAAACTCAGGAAGCCTCGATTTCCTGTTAGCAGAAAAAGGTAACAACTCCTACTGACTTTCCCCAAAGATAATTGTGAAGCTCAGAAATAATACACGTCAAAGCATTTTGTAAATTACTTGGGCGTCGATGCCAATCTACAATTCTGTTTCCAAACACATGCTCTGGGCTCCAACAACTGGTTGTTTTTCCCACACCTTGGTAAGATGCAGTGACCTTTGGATACTCCACGCAAAGCAGGGTCTCCACTAGACAAATGTACGTCCCACTGGACTTCAATCTCCGTATACCAAATGAGAAACTGGTGATCTTGTCCCACTGCCCAGTACAGCGCCTCTGGCAGAATCCTCAATGGCAACCAGGTACAGAACAGTGACCCCTAATACTTGTCACTGTTACTCTATAGTCTATTGATCATGGAGTTCTGCGGATTCCATCTTTTAAATGTCTCTCAAATTTCATGCTTCCTTCTCTCACTTTCACCACCTAGACTGAGACAATGTCAATTGCAATAATAATTAATACGGAATTATTGGCGTAATGCCTGCTTTCCCCGCTTGGGCAGAGGCCCATGAGAGCAGGAATATATTCCTAGTACCCAAAACCCTGTTAGGCTCATAAAATGTATCCAATAATAGTTATTGAACAAATACATATAAGAATTTTTAATAATCAGAAACATCAAAATAGAGTTCCAAGATTCATTAAAGGCTGAAAAATGTTTGCATACAGTAGTCCACCCCCCTTTTCCATGGTTTCACTTTCCCTGGTTTTAGATACTGAAGGTCAACCACTGTCTACAAATATTACATAAAATATTCCAGAAATAAACATTTCATAAGTTTGAATTGCACACCGTTCTGGGTGGCGGGATGAAACTCACGCTGTCCCACCCGTCCCGCCCAGGACGTGAATCATCCCTTGGTCCCTGGTATCCACCCATAAGTCACTTAGTAGTCGTCGCAGTTATCACATCTACTGTCATGGCATCACAGTGCTTGCGTTCAAATAACTCTTATTTTATGTATATTGTTAAAATTGTTCTATTTTATTATTAGTTATTGTTGTTAATTTCTTACTGTGCCTAATTTATAAATTGAACTTTATCATAGGTATGTATGTATAGTAAAAAACATAGTGTCTATAGTGTTTTGTACTATCATTGGTTTCAGGCATCCACTGGGGGTCTTGGAACACGTCCCTCATGAATAAGGGGGGCTGCTGTGTTTGCAGAGCATCGGTGACTGTCAGAGTGGCTCTCTGGCACTGTAGGCAGCACTCAGAATCCGCTTCTACCCTAAAGCGTTTTGTGACCCAGGCAGATCCTTATGCTTCTCTGTGCATTCTTTGCAAAACGAAACAATCAACCAGAATGTAAGCTGTCCCTGGGGCTGCTGTGAGATGAGGTGATGAAGAGCCACGTGAATAGTAATTTAACACTGTGATGGCTAGGGGCTGAGCCCAGAGGTGACAGCACTCTGGAGGGGGTGGGGCATGGATAGGGGAGGTGGCTGGTGGCTCACAGCATAGTTAATAGCAAATTAATGACCCTATTTGATGTGGTAAAATGCTCTAAGGCTGGTTTTACAACTGGCCTCAAATGCCACTTCAGTATATTAGGAAATTTCAGTTTGCCAGTGAAAACTGTTCACTGGGCATAAAACAGTTGGTGTTTGGTTTTAAAAAATTAGAAATGATTGAATCAACAGTCGAAATATTGAGCTACATGCTCCACATTTGGAATTTCATTATCTGGCTGGAAGCCCTCGGTCAGCTGAGCTGAAGGCCTCCATTCCTGAATTACTAAAGGCAAACTAGGCCATCAGCCATGCAGTCTTTGGGGAGGACTGAAGTGAGCCTTTTTGGTTCTTAGAGTCATTAGAAATCCCAAAGCATATGATGAGTCCTGGGATCTATTCCCTAAAAGCGTTGAGCTAAAAAACCCTTATTTGTAAATGCCAGGTCCTATTTGTTAGGAAGACGTTTAGGAAGAACTGAGGGGGAAAGGAGAATACAAATCGAAGCCAGGGCTTCTGATACACTGCAGCTAGGGAGGCTTGGTGCCCAGCACACAGTAGGTGGTCATTAATGGGTAGCCCAGTGAGTTAATGAATGCACAGCCACTTGGTATCACTGATGGTCAGAAGGGACATTAGACATAATCCAGGCTGCTACTGACATTTTGGGTGAAAGGATTCTTTATCTTGCAGGACTGCCCCATATTCTCTGCACAGTGAAAAAAAAGAAAAAATGTTCCTACACATTTCCAAGTGCCCCTTGGGGGCAGTATCTCCCCAGTTTAGAACCACTGTGACCCCTTTATTTAAAAGCTGGGAACTCAGAGGTTTCCGGAGAAGTGACGTGTGCAAGGTCACTCACACTGCTGACGCCAGTGGTAGTGCTGTCATGGTTCTGTTTTGAACAATATTTTAATGAAGGTCAATTACAGAATTACTACAGGTGGAGGTTTCACCCCGTATCTGTAACTACAGAAAAGAAACCATTTGGTAGCTGATGTTAGTAAACAGGCTATTATTTTTCAGTGATTTTTGGCTCCAGCCTTTCCCCTGTGGTCATATCACACAAAACATACTGACAAAATTATTTTCCAGTCATTTTCTAGTAGCTCAATTCCTTAGCCAAGTGGTTGTTGGAATAATAAGAGAAGCGTTATAATAGATGCCTATTAAAAAAGAGAAAGAACCAAGAAAGCTTCTGATTCTGTCACTGTCTTGTTTAATATATTTACCTTTCTTCGCATACATTTTTATAACCAAAAGAAAATTATAAAGCATCAGTACCAAAAAATAAACAAATGAATACTGTTTCATAATCACCTCATGCTCTCAAAATTCTCAAAGAACTTTAAGAATACTTTGGAATGAAAAGAGTTCATTATCTCTTAAATTTACATAGCATTTTTCCCCTTAAAGATTTAAACTAATTTTTACTCTTCTCTGTCATTAATCCTCAGGCTATACTCACCAAAGAGGCCACAAGTTATCTGATTTTATTGACACACAATATTCAATGGCTGCGCAAACTCTCTTCAGTCATGGTGACCAGCCAGTATTATTATTTGAACTTAGTAGTTTTAAATAACATTTACCGTAGATTGTATTAAGTTTATATTTATAGTTTGCAAAACACATGTTATTTTTACTTAATCTTTGTAACAGCCCTTTAAGGGAGTTATGACTATACCCATTTTAAAGGTAAGGAAACTGAGGGGACAAGAGTAAAGTGAGTGAGTGTCAGAGTTGGGGCTAACATACTGTTCTCTGGACTCCTAGATCAGAGTTTAAGTGCACTTTTCAAGTTATTTAAATAATAATAAAAAACCTGTGTTGACGTTGCTTTTAGGATAACAGAATAAGTCAACATTAAATGACATTCAAGTTTTATTCTTTTCTTTAAGTATAGTATATTTAACTGTTTGCTCCCTCTTCTCTTCAGCTTCAGCCAATCTCTTAGCACTGGATCTTCCCCCTGCAATCTTTAGTCACATATGGTAATGTTCTCTCCTGTTCACACACACACACACACACACACCCCTCCCTCCCTGCCAATACACACTCAGGCTTCTCTCCTCCTTTCTATGCTACCTCATAAGTCCCTCCCTGGCCTAACATGGCCACTACACTCACCTAGTAGTGTCCTGGACATGACATATTTTCAGCCTATCAGTGAAATCTGCTTTTACAGGCTGCAAAGCCTCCTATAGTGGGTAGACACCCCCATTTGTATCCTGATTTTGCAGAATGTTTTTCAAGTTTTTGTCCACTTGAGTTCACAGGACCTTCCCACTTTTCTGTTTCCCTGGTTCTACGTCTGCTGTCAAGCCCCGTCCAGCTTGGCTGTGCAAGCCAGAGCCCCGGCCCAGCCCCCTGCCCCCGGGGAGCAGCCTGCCAGGAGCCCACAGGGCCAGCAGGGGCCCCAGCCCAACCACCTGTGGCCTGTGGCTCTGACCCGTCCCCAGCCCAGCCTCCTGGGGGCGGAGGGCATTGCGCATGAGCAGAGGGCACCTCTTTTAGTGGTTATTCTCAAGCAGCGTCGATTATAAGTGATTCCTGTGCATTTTGACTTAAACAGGCTGGCTCTGTGTCCCCGCGGCAGCCCGTGGTGCGCCGGGCACGCTTGGCCGTGGCCAGCAGTTTGTGCGAGGAGTGCAG